TAATGGTATCTCCTGTTCCGTATTCCTAATGACACTTGGAAAATATTTAGAGATATATGGTAACTACTTTTGTAGTGAGCATTTCTATACATTAAGATTAAATTCAATTTTAGATTCAGATGAATCTTCAAGGCCATTCCGTAATGTGATATCTTCCAAATGACTGCACTTTTAACTAGCTATATTGAAAACTGAAAAACTGACACAACTAGAAGCTTGGAGAAGATTGTGTTGAGGTCTTATTTTGATGGTTTAATTTAAGAATAAATATGTGATTATTTGACCTGCAAAGATCTAGGCCATGGGTGTCAAACTTGATTGTGTGATATGACGGATTGTGACATATTTTTGCCTTTGCAGAGCTGGGGTGGGCGTGGCTTGCACGTGACACATCCGGCCTGCAGGCCACCAATTTGACACCCCTGATCTAGGCAATCACTAGCTGGAAGCAAATGTTAAGAATTTTTGTATCAATTAATTACATTAAGTGATTTGTAATAGTTTTAAAGTCCAGATCTAGTTACACTAATTACAATCTTCCTCCAAATGTTGAATACCCTCATTTCTCATTGACCCCGGCCAATATAGCAATGGGATATGACGAGAAACAATTCAACATCTTGAAGCTTACACATTCCCTGTCTCTGTGTGAATTAATATGATCAGAGGCAGGTATGTGTATTCACATTCATACATTTTTTTTCTTACAGGTTTATTTCCAAAAATAAAATTTCATTATTATTATTCCATAGCAATAAATCTGACCACTGACTAATTCAGCAACCTGGAAAATGAATTTTTAAATATAATGTTAAACTTATTATTACAATCTTGAACAACCTTCCTAAAGAAAGAACATAAAAACCACAAATAAACAGACATCCTTGACTTCATATTCTATATGCGATTTAAGACTGATAAACTTAACTTCAAGGCACACACAGTTGCAAATAACATAAGTGAAATATTTATAAATAAATCAATTGGAGCTCTCTTGGAAAATAAGAATTTAAGAAATGCATGTCACTTTGAGGTTTAGAGGCACATATTTGGATTGGATAGAGAATTTCGGCCATAGAAATCTGCTCATGGAATAATCTATTCTCTTATCTCCTTCTTTCTCCTACAGCCTTTCAACTTACAAAAATCTGCTCCAGAGGACTGGGAGTTCCTCTATAGCAGGGGTGTCAAACTGCCGGCCCATGGGCCAGATGCATCACGCGGAAGCTGCGCCCACCCCAGCTCCAGCAAGGGAAAAAAAGTCATGATATGTCGTGACACATCACGTGATGCGGCGAGTTTCACACCCCTGCTCTATAACAATGTAAGAAGTGGTCTCCATGCTCTACTAAGAATGGAAGAAATCCTTCTGCAAATGCTCCTACCACTATTGGGACCACTTTGGATTTTACTTTCCACATTCACCCCAGTTCCTCATTCAGGCCCTGATACTTTTCCAGTTTGTCATACTCCTTTTTCCTGATGTTGCTATCAATTGGCAGTGACATCTATCACCACTGCTGTCTTCTGGTCTTTGTCTACTACCATCTGATTGATTAGCCAGTATCTGCCTCTGTCTGAATCTGGAAATCCCACAGGAACCTAAGTTCTTTTACTTTTCATAACTTTTTCTGGAATTTTCCATCTAGACTTAAAATAATCTATACACACACACACACACACACACATACACACACACACACACACACGGGTGTGTGCATGCACGTGCGCGTGCACACACAGACCAACTTTTAAAAAACCAACCATCATGCTACTAATTAGGGGTATGCAGTTTCAGATTTGGAAAGAAAAATTAAAGCTATATATGTGATACTTGTCAACAATTCTTCAAGCCTTTTCTTAGTATCACATAGCAAACTGCGAATAGAACTAGTATAGTGTAATATGATATTAGGGAATAAGCTTGGGAGACAGGAAGAAGGGCAGCAGCCTAGGCAGTATTCCTATAAATAAAATATGAATTGGAAGGATGATGGGTGAGGGTGATGAAAACATCTCAGAAAGGACTCTGTAGTTTTAGAAGTATAAAGTAAGGGAGAGTAAAGATCCCTTCAGACTTCCTGTAACCTTACAACAAAGGTAGTATTAAGTAGGATTACTCTTAATTGGTGCTTTTTGTCTGGGCTAATTCAAAGGGATGGCATGAGGTGTAGTGATTAATAGGCTGCCGTTGGCACAGACACCAGTTTAGAAGCCTTAGAGTACCCTTTGTCTCCTAAATCAACATCCGGACTGCAGTGAATGTAATGCAAAACAAGCTTACTCTGCCAAATAAGTGGGACAAATGCTAAGGACAGCAACAACCCAGCAGTTGTGAAAAAGTAGCTGCATGACCCCAGAAACAGAAACAGCTGTTTTAATGAGTAGCAGACTGATTCAAGGAGAGTGTTCCTCCCTAATTATTTTCCTTTTAAAGCTGAAGTGTTGCCTGGCCTAGTGAACTAAATGGGGTCTTTATCTGTGTATGCTAACAATTACAGAAAATAAAAATAATAACTACTGATACTATACAACACAGGAATGTGGTGAATTTATGAAGATTGCTTTTATACAGCTAGTATTTCATGAATAATCTTTAAGCTTCCACTCTCCACCAACTTAAAATGTGGTCTATTTGCTAAAATCTACTTGTGAGCATCATAGCTGTATAGCAGAATGACTGCTTCTGAATGAGCAGCTGACCATTTAATTTCTCCAATAAAATGTCAGTAGCAATATCAGAGATTCAGAAGAGGTACATTTCTTTCCCATCCTCTCTGCTACTTCTTGCCAACTGTTTCATAACCCTTTTCTAAAAACGAATGGCTCAATTTAATTATTTCATATAGTTTACTCTTCATAAATTATTTTGAATTCTAACATATATACAATATAGCTCTATAGATTTCTAATATTTCATTTTTTTAATGTCTCACAATGAATGTACAGCTTTAAGGTTACAATCCCATATCAAAAAGACTTTCCTTTCAGTAGGTCTGTAAGATGGCATAAAGGGTAAAAGGTTATGATAATAAGACAGTTTCTGGTCCATGGTTTGCATCTGTCCACATAGTATGGCTTTCTGATAAAATATAACTTAGATTTATATTAGATCCCAACAGTAGCAATGTACTTTATTATTACCACGACCTCTATATGTGACATAAACAAACTTCTTCGCAAATATTTTATGTTCTGTATTCCTTTTGTTTGTTCTATAACCAATCCTGTGTCCTATTCATTGTCTAATCACCATTTTTACCACAATTTGCTGAAATATCTAATATCTTCTGTTATCACATTATTCATTTTAAAGTCTTAACTTGATTTTAGATGTATTACTTTTTCCCATAGAATATTTCAAAATATTCTTTTACTTTGGCAAACCTGAAATTCCAGAAAGTGGAGTAGGGGAGACATGGCATTTCAATGATGTGAAAAGCAACTGCTAGCATTGAGAGTTGGCTCAAGGAAAAGGAAATCTGTGACCTGTTTCATGAGAATGTTAGGAGCTCAGATCACTATTGGGCTATTTAAGATAATTGTAGTGTTGATACATATATCCCTGCCTTAACACTGCCAGATTACATCACTTGTTATGGACCCTGATTCCTTTACCTCCTGGACTATGGACTAAGATCAATTTCTCCTGCCTGTACTTTGATTGGTTGATACAGATAACACAGATGCCACGTTGGGTCTCCCAATCCTAATCAGGTTGAGCACGCAAGAACATATATCTATAGTAGAACTTTTTCTTCTGTCCTGAACAATCAGATCCAATTTTTTTAATATTACAAGTACATTTAAAGCACAGGGAAATGTTAAATGCCACTTGTGATGAAGCAAAGAGGCAAGATGGGTAGGCAACCCTTCAGAACGAAATGTCCAACTAAGGGCTTTCAGGATTAGAGTTTCTACTGAAATGGGGATATAACTGATTGAAAAGTCTTTCATACAAAGAGAAGCCAATATTGCAATCTTATCCACATCTACTGTAAATAAAATCTCTTTTGAGTCATACTCAACTCCTGGCAATTATATAGTTTGGTTTACCAATTTGCTTTAGTTGACAACAAAGCAGAAGTGCTTGCCATTGCCTTCTTAATTTGCTTGTCTACTCTATTGTACATTCTGCTGTGTTGAATACGGTGTATCCCAGGGGAAAAGTGTGCAATGTGACAGCCAAAAATTCCTTCTTAGGCTTACAAATATTGTGGCAACTTGCCAAAGAAGGAAGATGTCAATTATGTCTTTTCAGTTTATGAACGTTGCAGTATTTTATTTATTATATCTATTTTTATCAGATAAATATCAAGGAAATGCTGATTTGGCAGGAGAATTGATTAAGCGTAATAGTGTTCACAGTACTTGTGTTCCTTTTCCCCTTTTATTCTAAGAATTATTTTATGTACATTGAAACCAGTTAATGCCCTTTAGTTGTTCTATTTAGTTTAGTTCTGTTTAGTTGTTCATAAACAATAAAGTTTATGTAGGCAGGATCTGTGCCAAAAAGCACAATCAAAATTGCTTCAATACTAGTATGTGTGTGTATGTGTATTTGTATTTGTATACATACACATAGATTTTTTACTACATATATGAATATTTATTCATTTTGCATACACACAAACACACACACACACACACACACATAATCAATCAATGTTGCAGGATAACTTGTAAGATTCTCATTGGAAGAATATGCGACCACTTTCCCTTCTTGATTAAGATCTCTATCAATACATACATACATACGTGTGTGTGTGTGTGTGTGTGTGTGTGTGTGTGTGTGTGTGTGTGTATATATATATATATATATATATATATATATATATATATATATATATATATATATATATATATATATATATATATATATATATATATATATATATATATATATATATCTCACAATAAATTAACACTGCATAGGTCATTGTCCTTGTTTGCTTTTGCTCTGAAAAATTATTGCAGTACATTTAATTCACTGATGGAGTTCAATATGGAGCAAACAAGACAGGTGTGTGGGTCGTCCGTATAGGTCCAGGGGCGGGTCGAAGAAGTGATGGAGGAAGTGCAGAAGTCTGAAAAAGAGTAGCTGGTGGGGCTGTTCGAAGACTGAAAGGGGAATTTACAGCCACAGCAGCAGCTGCTGCTGCAGCTGCCAGTGGGTTGGGGAGTATCCGTGGAGCTACAGGTTTTGCAACTTCTTTTGAAAATACAAGTTTGACCTGAAAAAGGAGGGAAAACATAACAAAGAATGTTATTTGTTCAAATCACAAACACTGAAGATTAATTTTTATGAAAAAATATCTAATATACTTGATTATATTGCAAAAGGAAACATAAATCAAAGGTCTTAAAGGAAAATAAAATATTTAAAAAATGAAAATAAGTAAACAAGAGCAACAGAAAAGAGGTCTAATATATATAAGGAATCAGAAACACAGTATATTCTGATAATTAATATTTACAGATTTTATACTGGACAAAGCATATTTATAAATTGCTGTGAAAAGGTTCTCATTTGGGACAAGCAAAGAATACGCACTGTTCATTTTCAATTATCCCAATATATACCTCTCCATTTCCCTATTAACTTTTTGCAAACAAGCTGTCTTTTAACAGCAAAAGTGCAAAATGCAAGATCCCATCATGTTCCCAAACACAACTTTTTATGTGACCAAAGGAAATAATGTATGGAATGAGAATTCTATTAGGGGCATATGAAATTTCAGGAGGGATTGCTTCAATGAAGCTTTCAGTGAAGCCAGTTTAGTCACTAGGCTAGAAACCAGGAGATTGTAAATTCTAATCCTGCTTTAGGCATGAAAGCCAGTTGGGTGATCTTGGGTCAGTCGCTCCCTCTCAGCCCAACCCACTTCATAGACTTTTTGTTGTGGGTAAAATAGGAAGCAATATTCTATATGTTCATCACCATGAATTATTTACAAAAATAAGAAAGGTGGAATAAAAAATAGATAGATTAATGACAGACAGACAGACATTAATAAGCAATGCACTCCCTTGAAGCAAAATCATGAAGCAAGCTGGGCCACTTGGCTTCACTTATAGAAAGTGGAAAACAATCCTGATGGATGAACATGGGCTTCACTTGCTTTGTGATATAGATGTGACCTCAGGTGAAACATTAAGATTCATTCCCATTCTCCAAAGCACATGGTCCATAGTCCCTTATCCTTAATTAAGTAGTTAGTTAATTAATAAAATAGAGTTTTTATTCTGACTCCTCCCAATTTGTTTCACCTCTGGCTATTTTTTTTTTTTTTAGCACAAGTGAATTTGGCCTTCTGCTGAAAAAAACAATTGTATACCCTATTCTTATAGTTAACCATCATTACACCGATTTCTTCTTATTTATTTGATTTTTAATAACATTCTTCTACAGAAATATGAGCAAAATTTCAGTATCATAAAAAGGACTATGCAAAGGAAAGACAGTAGTACACCAAACAAATCACAGTTTCCTGGTTGTGAACTCATTTACCTGGAGTAAACACTATAATTCAGTGGAACATAATTCTGATTAGAACATATGAGTGGTATCACTAGCAATCTCTTATGTGAGTAGTGAGTTTTCATCCAAATACTATATTCTGGTTATTCAATTACTCAAGCTCTCTTTTTTTTCTTTTGCATTCTCCATATCAGGGATGGATAAGCTTTGAATACCCCTTGCCCAAATTAATTAGATTCTTGGAGTTTCCAAATGAATGCTTGGAAAAGCTCAACAGTCAGGTGGATATTTTATCTTGAAACATCATTTTCCATTGCCCCTTCCCTCTTTTTTTCTGGTTAGTTCCTTTTCATAAGAAAAAATATATTTAATCTGGGAAGGATGAGGAATGGCTAGCTTATGATGTGGCTTATTTTCAATCAAGGAAATGTAAGGTTATTCAAGGGTTGTCAGTTAACCTAGAGAGATGGAGTTCCATAACACTATTAGAATTGTAGTTCAAATTATATTATCAATAATACTATATGCCCAAAACTTGCTTACCCCAAGTGGGTGTGTTCCTTTTTGGAGTTTGTTATAGGGACTGTATTTGGGTTTCGGAGGTTTCCCAGCAGCTCTGTCTTTGTGCCTTCTACTGCTTATGTGCTGTTTGAAAGCAAAACACTCTTTATTACTACTTTTCTTCAAATGACATTATTTACTGACTTCAACACAATCTTTTTATCTATTTTTTTACCATAAATAAAAAACTGGTTCAAATAAACCAGAAAAATAGATGAATAGATTTTAATCATAAATCTATTCATCTATTTTTCTGGTTGATCTGAAATCCTGAAGACATAGGTTGCATGCCATATAAAATTAACAAGGCCTGGTTTTGTAAATATCTTAAATGGAAAACTATTTGGGAACTTAGGATCAGCTCATTGTCCCAAAGGTGCTTTTTCAGGAGGCAACTGGAGTTTCTTGTTTTTCTTTGAAGATGTTTTGCTTCTCATCCAAGAAGCTTCTTCAACTCTGACAGGATGGTGGGGATTGGAAGGATTTATGGGACAACCATGACCAGGATGACTGAGAATCTCCATAGACATTTAGCTATGCACTTTGGGATGAACACCCTTCAAAGGGTGTGGGAGTATGAATGGATTTCAAGAAAACATTGCAGACTGCAGGAACCATTTGTTCTTCAATTTGAAATGCATACAACACAGACTTATCCCCAACAGCCTGCACCTGTCTTCAACAGTGAAGGGACACAGGGCAGAAAACATCCTGCAGCCAAGAAAGCTCCACACCCATTTGGACTACTCAGATGACCTTGATAAAACAGATAAGCCTCCAGGTGGCATCAATGACTGTCTAAAAGAATGCAAATGACCAGCTGTCTGTAAGGAATATAAAACCTTCCATTACCCACCATCCAGTCAATGCTGAAGAAGTTCTTGGATGAGAAGCAAAACATCTTCAAAGAAAAACAAGAAACTCTAGTTGCCTCCTGAAAAAGCACCTTTGGGACAACCATGACCTGGATGACTGAGAATCTCCATATGATCAGCTCATTGATAAATAATCTCACTAGTCTAATACAAGGACTTCAACTTAATGACTTCAATTGGAACTGGTGCTCTATTGCTAAGCAAAGTGGGTGCTAAGTGGGAAATTATATGACTGCTACTGTACTTTCCTTTTTCCCATTCCCCACCCCTTCCCTCACCTTTGGAGTAATCACCAAAGAGCTGAGGTAGCTGCTTGCCTGCCTGTAACTGAATGACTAACTCATTTCACATCTGCTTTTGTTTGTCTCCTAAAGATTTTACCTCAGCTTCCCTTTTTCCTGGCTGCCACATCATTGGAATAATTAGAAGGGAAATAATAAACTAATTTCTATTTGCATTTATTAGTGAGGAAGGGATTACAAGAAAGTAAGCAGACACACAATGGGGAATACAATCAAAAGCAATCCATTGGCACTTGGAGCCATGAATAGCTATGCAACAGCCCAGTATATTTTGTAAACTGTTGTACAAGGAATACATCCTGAAGTGCCACAATCTTCAACATCAATAAATGATAGATCAGTAATAAAACAGGCATTTTTAAAAGATGGGCTTATGTAATGGTGGCAGATATCTTATAATAATAACTTTAATGAAAAGTACACTATTTAAGAAGATATAGAATGCTCTTCCTGCAGAACAAATGTTTCATTAAAATGTCCTCTTTTTGTTCAGTTGTTAAAGACTCAAGAGCCTATTTCCCTTAGGTTTGGTGATTTATGCTTCCTATAAGAAACCCTTATGTAACACTTGGGAACTGGGCTATGTACCACAAACTGCCTTGATCTCTTAACTACTGAATTTTATCTATGCGAATAAATAGCACTTGCCTTAAATTGTTCTCTATGGCACTTGCATCTGTAGGACAAACAATTTATCTGTAGCACCTCATCCCACAGAGAAATATCCCACCATTTTAGAACAACAAATCCACAAACTGGAATCTATGTCAGTAGCATGATTATAAAGCTGAGACACACAAACAAACGTTAGAACAGTATCTTCTTCTTTTGCTCTTTTTTAGCTACTATCTTTGTGATCTGGGGCATGTGAATGCCATGCCATGTTATATGGGCAGTGTCTGCCAGTAGGAGGTTACTGCATAAATATATTTTAAATTGTGTGGTAAGCTGCTTACTTTAAAGTGTGTTTCATTGATTTTGAACTAAATAAATATTCTATGTACTATTCCCAGAGCCTAAGTTTGTCTTCCCTCAAGATAATGTTAACATCTATAAAAATAACATTGTAAGGTTCATAGGATTTCTAATTTTGAGGTGGAAGAGTATAGCTTACTGGGCCTAATTTGATACTTCTTGTCTAGAGAAGAATCTGTTTATAGAACAATTCATATTCATCAAAATATCCATTTTTCTGCAAAAGACATGGAGCAAGTAAAATAACAGAACACAAGGGTACATTATGTCATTCTAGAATAATTTAAGTTGAAATAATTGTCAACATATGACAGTTTAACGAAAATATAATTCAGCAAAACAAATCATCATCCACAAAATCATCATGAACCATATGGCATGACTGTGCAAACTGTTTAGAAACATGCCTTGTGGCTTTGGAAGCAATCCAGCAAATGTGCCGTCTGTTCAGAAGGGTAGAAAGGGATGTGAAATGTACATGATACACTTTTCAGAGATGTGATACCTTGCTGAACCGAGCAGCAGGTTTGGTTGAAATGTCCATTTCTCTAGTTTGCACTACTCTGTCCTGTTGGTAAGAAATCAAAGAATCATATGATTGATTCACACACCATAATGTTTTAACATATGGAGACGTAGTCTGGAGGCACTCGGATACCTTTCATTTTTATAGTTGAAAATACTGTGGGCATCTGTGTCAATGTAAGAATCTCCTGGAATTACAATATTGTTGCAGAAATTACAGCAAAACTGGAAAGCACCAGTCATTCTTGACAAATTGCAGAGCATAATTATAATCGCATCAGTGGCCCCCATAATCTCCTAAAAATTGGCAGCTTTACTGATCCCTACCTAAGAACCTTGAACTTCTGGAGCTTCGGAGCAACAAAAAGCATACATTGCCAAACTTTAGTACCTGTTTAAGTTGTGTCTCAGAGTTCACGTGCACATCACAAATTTCACAGTGAAATGTTTTGTTCTGAAGTCCTGTATTTCCTTTATTGATAGGTCCTTTTCCTTTGACACCTGTCCTAGGAAAGGCTTTGATGGTTCCACTCCCATTACGGGCTTCTAGCATAGTTTTGTGCTTTGTGCCTAAAGATGTCAAACATATAAAAAATAATCTTAGAAAAATATTTGAATAAATCTTTTATCTTCCTCTGGATTACCTTTCTCCAACATGTGGGGATTTTAATTTTCAGGATTCTTTAGCACTATAGCCATAGCTGAGAATGTTACAAAGTTCTCATATTTAAGGAATTTAAAGAATGGGAAGGTTGTTCTAGCTATACCTCAGGTTCTATCCCAGGAAATTTTTTTATGTACCCATCTGTAATTCTCCATATTGATTTGATTAATAATAATAATAATAATAATAATAATAATAATAATAATAATAATAATAATAATAATAATAATAATAATAATAATAATAATAATAAAGTTGGAAGGGACCTTGGAGGTCATTTAGTCCAAGTCCCTGCTCAGGCAGGAAATCCTATAACAATATTAATATTGTAATCATATTAATATTGTCTATCCATATAGCAATGCTATCTAAGTAATTTTAATTTCATATACAAACCTGGGAAGTTATGGTTGCATAATTTAGTTATTTATTTCCATACACTGGTGATATAATTTTAGTTTGCCCAAAATCATATATAACTAATGGGCCCCAAGTTATCCTTTTCTCAACTTTTATGCTAAAGAAGCTGTCATCAGTCTGTAGTAAAGTGGACAAATTAAGTGTCCTCCCACAAAAAGATAAAATCATTCGGACATTGGTTTGAATCATTGCCACATATTCTAATTGGATTATTAATAGTAATTTTGAAAACCTGCTGCTAGTGAAGGAATTGGCACTATCTCAAAACACCTTTTTGACAATGCACACACTCCATTGGAAGGAATAAAAACTAAATAGCAACAAAGTCACCCTTTTTTAAAAGAATGTATGGTTTACTTCTAGAAGTCATTATCAGGAAAAATATTGCTTCTAAAAACTAAATTATTTACAATAAAAGTCTATTCCGTTCCATGCCACTGTTTTTCCAACAGAGGAAAATTCCCAGGACTCCATGTATCTTTATATTTTTCATTTTTAAAGAAGGGGATGCAAAGTTAGTATTTGTCATGACAATTTAAACAATAATTATTATTCCAAACATTTTACAAAAGTTTGGCAGTAAGTACACAAAATCCTTGTGAATCCCAAAGCAATATCCATATTTATAAAGATTACTGCCATTGGGAATTTCTCAGTTTGTCAACTCCAGATCCCAAACAGATCTCTTTTTCAGCTTATTTAATCAATCAGACTGAAAGTAAAACAATTTTCAGAGATTACAGATAACTTGAACAAGCCACTGAAATAACAACAGTATGTATATATGTGACATCACTCATTCTTTGCAAAAAAAACCCCCATGCAATAAAACATCATTTAAAAAATCACATTACTTTCCACAGAGAAGGAAAAGTAATCCAATGTAATCTAATGTTGATTCTAAAAACATCAAAAACCATATAGATATGGTCATACATATTTAATAAATGCTATGATAGATTTTAATATATTAAAAGTTGAAAGCAATATTAATATGCCCACTGTTTGCAAATCAAATTTAGTATTAAATAAATACTAATATATATCAACAATTATTTATATAAATGAGATAAAACCTACAGAGAAGTGTTCTAAGTACATGCTGCTGGTATCATTTAAATGTATAAAACACCATTCACAAAAGTACCTGTTTTGTATACATGACAAATTAATTGTAATTTTAAAACAAGGTATTTCATATGATTTGGACCAATTTAACTAATTTTGTTATGTTTAACATTTCCACTGATATATTACAAGTAGGGGGGGATATCAAGGTAATGAAAGACATGCATCAAGAATTTCTTTCCAAATAGAATGGTACCATTCATTGAAATGAAATATGGCAACACAAGGTGGTGCTGAATAATACAACAATTAATCTGCAGTATCTGTCTTGAAACAGTTTCTGCTTCAAAACCTGCACTGATAAATTCATGCCTTTGGGAAAAGAAACCAAGATGTGATGTAGAGAAAGTTATATTTCAGATGCATGCTACATATTTGTCATTGAATGCTGAATATAAAATCAAAAGCAAATTTTCTCTCAGTTTTAAAAACATTGAAGAAGAATGTAGGAGTTTGATACAGTGTCTTAATGACTGAATACAGATGATGCCAATATAAAACTAGAACTAAGAAGACCCAGTTACAGGTTCACCTCAGCTAGAAAGCTCACTGGATTTGGCCAATCAAACTCAGCCCAATCTAACCTAATTTATAAGATGGTCTGAGGGGAAAATCAGAGGAATGAATGCTATATATGGCTACTTGATCTTCTGGAGAAAAGGCAGGATATAAATCTAACAAATAAATACATATATAGAATACATAAAATATGGGAAATTCGAGAAGGATTATTTGGGGGGAGCTATAAACATCTAGAAAACTATGTACAAAATAAAAATAACAAGATTGAAAAATGAAAAAAAGAAAATAATGATGCTATAATAAATTCAGTCTAAATTTGATGAATGAAAAATGGTTGACCTCAAATATATAAGTAAAAGAAATACTTGTAGTTATTAGCTATATTATATTAGCTTAAATATTTGAATGAGTAAAATAAATGGTGGGTTTAAAGGCTAAATTGTATTATTGACATTTTTATTATATTGGTTTTATTTTATTGTTCTAATACTCAGTGGATCATAGCTTGCAAGTTGTATCGCTTTCACTGAATCCACTGAATTAGATTGTAGCTTAACAGTACTAGATAAAATAGTTGGAAGAACTCAAGTCCAAGAGAAGAGGAGAAACTATGGTTTGAATATGAGGGATTTTTTTCCTTTAAAGATTTTCAGTTATGTTTTAGAATATATGTTCTGCATTATGACATACATCTAGTTAGATTGTTCATACTACCTCCTTAAAAGGTACTTTCTAAGAGGTTGTGAAATCAATTAATCTAAGATATGTCATTTGATTAAAGGTGTCAGTGCTGAAGAATGGAAAAGAACAATTTTGATTAAGATGTGTATGTGTGTGTGTGTGTGTGTGTGTTCATCTATGTTTATATGTATGTTTATATTTAGCCAAGTGCCTCTTTCAAATTCTGCTTAATGTTATAAATCCAGCCCTATTAGCTTCGGCTTTCCTTTCCTCTAAAACAGTATTCAGTTCATGCAATCAAATGCTTCAGCAGGATTGAAAACTGGTATTTGAAGAAGGAATCTGATTACTTCTATGGATCAAAAGGTTCTCCTTTCCCTTTTTATAATGGATTTCTTTTCTTGTCATTTTTGTCATTTAATTGTTAATAAATTCATGGAATTTCTAGCTTTCTCTTCTGCAAGCCATCTGAAAAGCTCAATCTTACCACTGTTGTGTGCCTCCAGCTGGGAGGCAGAGTTGACAGCAACTTTGCATAGTGAACAATAAAGCAATCGTTTGGCCTTTTCTTCTTCTGTCTCTCCTAAGGAGCCCACACTACTGCTGGTGGCAGTGGAGGGAATTTTTTCAATTTTTGAGGTGATTTCAGTCATTGTTACACTGTTCTTCCGAATTTCAATAGCTGGAGATGTTGATATTGCTGGTGCTTCTGTTGTACTATCTGTTTTACAGATTGAAACAAAAAAATAAGTTAAACAATTATTTATTCATTACAATTCTGCAAACATTGGGTGTAATAAGAAACTTGTCATGAGAGTGGTTTAAACTGGAAAAAAAAACACCCTTCCAAGTAGTATCATAACAACAATATGGACTTTAATATAGATCTTTAGTCTTTACTAGATTCTGTCAGTTAGAAAAATGTATCAGTGGAATTATCGCCTCCCAAAGTTGTGGGTGCTCCAACATTGGAGGTTTTTAAGAAGAGATTAGACAATCAGTTGTCTGAAATGGCATAGCACTTCCTGGCTGAGCAGGGGGTTGGGCTAGAAGATCTCCAAGGTCACTTGCAACTCTGTAATTCTGTTATTCTGTTACTGTCATTTTATCTGTAAAAACATAAAATAATAACAACTACAATCCACTGTCCCTAACCATGCAACATGACTGCTTGTTAATCATTCAGTGGCAGGGTTGCTGGGAATTAGGTAATGGGGAAAATATTGCTGGTAGCTTACGTTCAGCCACTTGCACTAAGATTGATCATAAAATAGAAAATGGATGCCAAGTGAATAATACTTGCCATTAATCTACTTCAGTCAAAGAGCCCTTCATAAAATGTTGCTGAACATAATAAATTCATAGAAAAGGATTTTTCCTGGTCATTCTTTCTTAGGAGATAAGCCAACATATAAATAATTTATGTCAGAAAATGAAACAAATTTTGTGAATGCGTGTGTTCTACACAAACATGTAATATTTTATAATACTTCTAATATATAAGAAAAAATCAAGTGTCGTGTTGCAGATTCCAATTTAATGTCCTGGAAAGCTTGGCAAAGACATTAAATGTTCAAATATTGTTTGCCTAGCCTGTCTGAAAGATTATATAATCTGTGGGTTGGGTCTCTATCTAGACAAGAAAAGAGTATTCATGAAAGCAAACCTTGTCCTCGTAACTGCATAAATTCTTTGCAACCACACAAAAATATTACAGATTGCCAAGAAACCCTGCATTTCCCCTCTTTTAATGATACAATGGATTTGCCTCATAGATATCATATTGTGGTAGTATTTAAAAACTTCATGATAGATCCTATAAATTGCTTCCCCAAATCAAATGTCAAGCTATCTGGTCCAAACAAATTAACATATTGTTAAATTTGTGGATGGATAGTTTTTGTGGCTTTTGAAGCAGCAGCAGTGAAAGCACAGGGAGGGAAAGCACATTAAGGATAAGTGCTTAATCACTCCTTCCACACCAGTTCACTGATGTATAATTTATTTTACTTGAAATAAATGAAAATTTCCAACTTCTCCTTCTGCAAAAATAAAGATTACTGTCAAGAAAAATAAATAATAAATTCAAACAGGGTCAGCAGAGAAATACTGAAATGTAATAAAAAGGCTACTTGGGGCTAAAAACTAATAAACTTTTGTTACATCAGCAGCCTTAGGGGAATAAATCCTTAATAAGAGGAATCACCATTAAAAGAAAATGTTCTTTACCTTTGCTTCTTTGATGGACATCCAGATAAAGGACTTAATGCAAAGGACATTTCACATGAAAGAAGGCAACAAATACATTTTTTTCTTTGCAAATTTACTTAGATGGAGAAAACGGTACAAAGAAAAAGATAAATAATGTTCAACAAAGCCAATTCTTCAATCTACTGTAATTCTTTTCTTCCAGAACCTTTAAACTAACAAATATAACTTGGTGGAATTGCAGTGCATGAAATTAGGAAGACCTTCTTAAGATTACATAGGAGTCAACACATCTATTCCAATCACAGCTTTAGTCTCAAAAATTACTCTTAGAATTACCGTACACTTCTGCCCTTTAATTTTAGTGTCAATCTTCCCTGCTTTAGACAAGTTCCTAAGTAACTTTTAAAATAATTTCAGACACACTGTAGTGGCAGCTGATCTATTATTATTTTCATTATTATTTCTTCCCACGGGCTGTTGGTTCTGCTTTTGCAACCAGAGTACTTGAACACCACACAACCTGTGTCTTAAAAGAAAGAGAAAATAAACATTTAGAAAAAAAACAGAACAAAAAAATGAAAGGGAAAATTGTTTCAGCCCATTCCTGAATCATTCTAACATTTCACTTTCAGAAATGGGAAAGAGTGTCCCATCTCTAAAGTTGAGCTCTTGAAACAAAACCTGGAAAATCCATCCCTCACTGAAATAATATAAGTTCACCACCAATACTCTGGTGAAGAAACAAAAGAGACAACTATCTTATAAAATGTTTACCTGCTATTTATAAAGTCTAGAATATATTCTTCTTCCTTCATTCCATAATTCACCTTCTGAAATGTTTAGTCCTACAATTCCAACATAATTTAAGTGTAAGTTATCTCTCCATTTAGGGAGACAATTAGCTGTAACCATTTTAGAGGTGAAACCCTATAGACAGAAGATATAATCATGAAATATAATTAGAGCAGTCAGTCATATGCTGAGGGGAAAAGATAGAAAGTATAGGAAAAAGAGAGGGAAGAAACAATTTATTCCTTTCTTTAATTTGCCTACTGCCTTTCTTCATCCTTTTATCATTTGATTAATTCTAGTTGGTGTTCTTTAACACTTCAAATCACTGGGTACATCAAGACATGATTTGGATGAGATAGCCCATTGGAAGCCAGTTTCCACAGTACTAATGTTAGGTTGTGTGCAGAAGCTCCTCACAAACATCAATTCCAAAGTTTTTATCAAAACCTGACTTTATGGCCCTGCTATGGTAAGCAGTTGCAAGATTTGACCTTGACTGGCTTTCACATGACTCTGAGATGGGAATCAAAGTCTAAGACTTTCACAGCAAGAGAAGCTTTGAAGCTACATGAATATCCTTCCTTTCTTCTTTGTTCAGCAAGCAAGAATGAAAAACAAGCAGGCTAGCTGAAAATGAATTCTAAACTTCTAGTCTTTTCTTAATATGAAGAGAAATGTCACTAACTCCTAACAATGTTCTTACACATTGCCATACCAGATACACATGCATTTAAAGACTGGGAAAGGGGATTAAAAAGTTACTTTTGTTTCAAGCAGCACTTGAATGTAAAAAAGAGGGCCAAGGATAATTGCAGAACAGGCTTTCAAAATATGTGTCAATGACCCCTCCATATATAACACTTCCAGTATATTGAAGTTTATACCAATACCTTCACTAAACATTCTCTGAAATCTCAAATAAACATATCAATAAAAAGGAAATTTACTTAAGATAATGAAATACTTATTTAACATGCTCTACTCTACTGACTTATTTATACACAGTATTCCAGCTCTTCAATCCAAATTTCTTGCAATTTGGAATGTACAATTGCAAGAATTGTCTATAAAAATAAATACATAGATTTAGAATTATCCAAAGCTCTATCCCATGATAACAACAATTCAGGAATTTCCAATGCAGCTAAAGAGTCTAATCAAATTGTATATACAGTATATGGAACAAAATACTTCATAATTGATGCATAATTATAATGTATTATCTGATAATTTTGCATAACTAATTTATTGGGTTTAAACCTATTAATCGATAAAAATGAATTGATTTTTACATTACCAATTCCAAAATGCAACTGATCATCTTGGAACAATTATTTATTTATAAATTAATTTACATGACAGTCCATCTCAAACACATGTTACTGGGCAGCTCACAATAATAAAATATACCAGAATTATAAAATAACATAAATAGCAGTTGGGAAAAATAACCAACCAATCACACACAACAGTGATTCATGCAACAAAAAAAATGGGCTTGCCCAGGCTTAAAGGCAAAACAGGTATTCAACTGGCTTTTGTGAAAGAACAGCCAGGTAGATACTATCTTGAGGGGTGGGAATGATGTTCCAGAGGGCATAAAAACAAAAAATTCTCTGTTCTGGGGTCTTACTAGACAATGATAACAGATGGAATCTAAAGAACGTTTCTCCAACTGGCTCTAATGGGAAGCTGGATATAGCAGTCCTGTAAATAACCTATCCCCAAGCAATGAAGGGCTTTAAAGGTAAATACTGGCACCTTGAATTGAACGTGGAAGCATACTGGCAACCAATACAGCTTGTTGAGGAGGGGTGTCACACATGCTGAATTACAGGCACTCTTAACTGCCAATGTGACTGAGTTTTGCATCATCTGAAGCTTCCAAATATTCTTCAAGGGCACCTCCCCATGTAGAGCATGTTGTAGGTTGATTAAGGAATCATGACTGTGAGCAGAGCCTCCTCGTTCAGGAATAGCTGCAGCTGGCTCATAGCATGAAGCTATGCAATAACATAAATGTATTTATAAGGTCATCATAACAATTATTAAATTGATTAATCTATCAATTCAATTCTTAATACATACTTTACACATATGAAAACATTATATATACTTTTTAAAATCATTCTGAAAAATGCTCATTCTCTTGAAGGAGTCTAAGAAGAAGTAAATAGATGTAGAATAATGTTTTGACTGAGAAGGATATGCCAAAATCTTTCATTTTTGCCAGATTAGACATTTCATTCTGCTTATATAAATCTGTTCACATTAACTAAGATAAACACATGATTGGCTGTTTGCTGCTCTAGGAATGCCACTCTCATTCCAAAGCAGAGAGAAAGGCAGCAATCTTTCATGTTACATTTTGTGTACAAGGAAAATAAAATAACTACGTTGCCATTTATAAAATATGAAAAACTGAGGTTTTTAAAGGAAAAACAGCAATTGAAACTATGACGCATCATCTACAGTTGACTAACATTTTGCTTCCTGATAACTTTCTCTTGGGGAAATGTTAAATGAGCCATCAAAACTCACAAGGAAAACAGGAAATCTGTGAAATACAGGAAGACATAACATTATGGGCCCCTGGTGTAGTTATTATTTACTAATTATTATTAGGATAGAGAACGCTCGAACAGCATTCTTCAAAATGAAAAAGGTCTTCTGCAGTCACAACATAAGCCTAAGACTGAAAATCAGGCTTGTCAGGCT